AAAAAAAAAAAAAAAAAAAAAAAAAAAAAGATCAAATGCCTGCGATCATGCCAGGAGCAGCTCACGAGTTCATCCTGTGCACTGGAGGGGTCCTTTTCTTGTTTTTTTCTTTTTGCTGCCCGCTGCACTTGCCTCCTCCTCCTTCTCGCCTATCCATCCCTCTGTTTTGCTGCAGATCCATCCCTTTTCTTTTTCTCCCACCGAGCCTTCCTCTCTCACCTGTATATGTGTGTGTGTGTGTGTGTGTGTGTGTGTGTGTGTGTGTGTGTGTGTGTGCCGTTCAGCTGCACATGGGCTAGGTACTCAGTTTCTTTTCCTTCTCTTCTAGACATGGCGAGTTTTACTTAGCAGCTTCTGAGCAGCACTCAATCAAAGAATGGACTTAGAGNGGCTAGGTACTCAGTTTCTTTTCCTTCTCTTCTAGACATGGCGAGTTTTACTTAGCAGCTTCTGAGCAGCACTCAATCAAAGAATGGACTTAGAGTGAACTGTCCCATGGATCTTGTGGTCAAGTTCTCAGCCGAGACATGTCGAACAGAAAACAAATAGAAAACATTAAACCACCAGTACTTCCTAAAGTCGTGCCCGTATACAAGCCAGGATTTATGAAACATACTGGCCACTACAGGAGCGCCCAAATTCATCCGACTAGAAACGTTTCTACTCTATTTTTTACTCTATTGTTTTTCTGCGGCGGATAGCTGGGCCAAGTACTGGTGGTGGTGGTTTGCCCAATTCGCAAGTGCAAACTGGGAAGAGGGAGAGAGTAATGGGGGATGGACCGCTGATGAAGTTGAAGTTTGCCGAGGGATGGTCTCAAAAAACTTGATGATAAACATACATTTTTGCATAGCTAGGAAAATGTGCTGAGCCACTTGTGAGCGAGTGGCTCTCCTTGCGTTTTTCTCCGGAAGAGGTCTCATCATCATCATTATCATCATCATCATATGAGGGAAGCTGAGCCCGGTTCTCAGCATGTTCTGTTCGGTCACTCCGGGTAGACTGTGAGGACCCCGGCCTCTATCTTCTTATTGGTAATATCAGCCTTGGGCACTGGGCCCGTTTTGATTAAAAAAAAAAAGAAGAGGGGTGGGAGAGGTGGAAGGACGGGATGAGAGAAGACATCAACAGTGGAAAACCTCTTTTGGTGTAAACAGCTCCGATTCACACCATGTAACCACTGTATCACCGTGTCAATCTATACATCCGGATCATTTCCGACCCGAACCTCCATGGATTGGGTAATCAGTGAAGGATATGATGTACTGCTATATGGAATGACCCACCAACCGTTGCCTTCACTTCTCTTATGACTTCATTTGACCCTTTTCTTCTTCACCTTCCGGAGGGGTTAGACCCCATGAAGTGGTGCTTTCCATTGGATATGGTATGTGATCAGGCCATCTGAGACATGCTGAAACCTTGTTCAAGTTGGAAGTTACTGTGTGTCGGTCATCGATTGTTGAATAAGGCTGATGCAATTGTAGAACCAGTGCCTCCCTCCTCTGGCAATGCTGCGGTCTTAAATGCTTTCCCTTTTTTGTTGACTTGCAAGTTGCAACAGGGCATCCAAAAACTTGGGAATGATCAACTTTTGACATTCTCTGTGAAGGACTTGGGGGCAGTTGAGCAGTATAAAGAACATCCGAGCTTGCAGAACATTTCTGTCCGGAAATTGCAGTCCTCGACTCCTCGCTGCTCCCGCCCTTGTTGCCGTAGTCATAGTCAGCCTTGTCTATTGTGTTGGAGTGAGTTACCCTTGTATCCTGTTAGTACCACCAGATTCAAGTTTCTTACCTTCAACACCTTTATCATAATTGTGCACATGGTTGAAGGCCATGTTGTTGTAGTACATCATGGATGTGTGCTTGTGGTAAATGTTCTTCTCCTTGCAGAGACTGCTTTCGCAGTCCTCATAACTTTCTTCTCCTTCCATAGAGTCTGACCGCCTTTGCACTCCTCATAACTAATCTCCTCGTCAACGTACTTCGCCTCTTTAGAATCCTTCGTGTCATTTCCCTTCCTATTCTCCTTGTCGTCTTCCTTTTTGCTGTCTTCGTGCTTGTGATTGTCTGCCTTGCCTTCCTTCTCATATTATCCCTTTTTAGCTCCCTTGGTGAGGCTTGGTCTCTTTCGTTTTGTCATCTCCATTGCTATCTTTCTCTTTGTCATCCTTCTTGTGTTCCTGCGTATCTGTTTTGCCCTTATCTTCCTCCTTGTCCTCTCCATGCTTCTCGTTCTTGTCTTTCTTGTTTCCCTTGTCGTCTTTCTTCTGGTCCTCCTCCCTGTCTTCCTTCTTGTCTCCCTTCTTGTCTTCCTTCTTGTGTTCCTTCTCATCTTCCTTCTTGTGCCCCTTCTTGTCTCCCTTCTCGTCTTCCGTCTTGTATTCCTTCTCGTCTCCCTTCGTGTCTTTGTACGTGGCTCCCTTCTTGTCTCCCTTCTTGTCTTTGTCCATGTTTCCCTTCTCGTCTCCCTTCTCGTCTCTGTCGTTGTCTTCGCCCTTGTCATCCTTCTCGACGTTCTCGTCTGAGACTCCCTTCTTGCCTTTGTCCACGTCCCCTTTCTTGTCTCCCTTCTTGTCTCCCTTCTTGCCTCCGTTCTCGTCCATGTCGTTGTCTTCGCCCTTGTCATCCTTCTCAACATTCTCGTCTCCGTTCTTGTCTTTGTTCGCGTCTCCCTTCTTATCTTTGTCCACGTTTCCCTTCTTGCCTCCCTTCTTGTCTCCCTTCTCGTCTCCCTTCAAGTTCTTGTCTTTGTCCACGTCTCCCTTCTTGCCTCCGTTCTCGTCTCTGTCGTTGTCTTCGCCCTTGTCATCCTTCTCGATGTTCT